CGTCATTGTTTGTACAATTGAATGCAGAAGGAATTTGACTTTAGAATCACCTCCGGTTTCGCATTCCGTCTCATCAATTATACTCGAATAAAAAAAAAACGTGAGTAAAACGACAGAAGGAGAAGCAACGAATTACTATAAATCAGTGTTTCTCAATCTCTTTATAAGAAATTCTTGTTTTTTTGCAACGTACACCTGTAGACTCAGTTTCGCATTGCAAGAAAGTTAAATAACTCATTTCGTTTAGATTTATCACTTGGAATTCTTGACTTTTTTTATCTAAAATCTCTTTCATTAAATTACATGATATTTATTTAATTTTTTGGTTATTTTTGTATTATTTTTATAATATGAACATAAATATTTTTTTAATATAAAAACACTGTCACATATTATATAAAGAAGTTATAACCTTCAGCATATTTACATTTAAGTTCATACGAATTTCATATACTTTATATCTTTATTTTTCAAATAATAACTATAAAAAAACATACATCATTTTAAATAAAACTAAATTTATTCTCTTACATGTACAGTCATATTATTTCTGATAATGAAGCTTCACAATGTCAAGTAAAATGACCGCTTAACGAAGTAAATGGAATGTATCCTCTTTGTTAATCGAGGTATGACAGTATATTATGAAATAAATAATGCAAGAGTGCATTATTTCACACTTCTTGTTCATAATTATTTGTATAAAGATAACAATTATTATTATCGTTTTTTTTTCAATTATTTTTTGTAATAACATTTGTAGGAAATTCCATTTAAACCAAATAATTTGTTGTAATTTGTAACCAAAATATAGTGACATTTGCATGTGCATCATTAAACATTATTTGCCATGCCTTGTCTGTTGATAATTCAAATATTAATTCAATATCTGCACAAACTGATATAATAAAGTTTTATCATTGTGATAAAAAGTTAAAAATTTTCAAATTTAATTGATTACTTATACATGATTTACATTTTTATAGATTTTTATTTCAATATTTCAAACTAATTTAAAAAGTTTCAAAAATTTAGATAGCAATGAAAATGGATGAGAGTATTCTAGGATACTCCAAGAAATACTACAAGTATTGCGATTTTTTTTTATCAATATTTGAATAAAGTGATATAAAAAGTTTGGTGATAGCAATGAAAAAAGATGAAACATCTGAAAACGTAATTCGATTCTACGACATCTGAGGAAATCTATGATGAAACCATTGTTTAATATTATTAAAAAAATATAATTCCTTTGAATTTTGTTGAATGTATGTACAAAATATTGTATAATCATAATAATAATCATTTTGATAAGAAATCACTTGATGAAATCTATGATGACACCGTTTTTTAATATTCCTAAATAAAATCTTAAAATCTATCGAATTTCATTCAATAGTTATGCATACTGATTCACACTTTCAGGGCATTTTGATAGCAATGAGCAAAGCTTAAACAACTGAAGACGATATTCGATTCAATATTATCTTGTAATATTCTTAAATGCTATAAAAAATACCACAAATCTTGCGTTTTTTGTTCAAGATTTGAATAAACTAAGATTTTGTTCAATATTAGTTCAAAATATTGTATAGTATAATGGAGCATAATCCGTTCCAGAATTTCCTGATTTTTACCCGTATAATGAAATACTCATTTAGTGAAACAATTTTCCCTATATAAACTAATGTAAAATACGACAATGCGTTCCAATAAGAATAACTTGGTCTTGATTTCTAATGATTTTGCTTCTTATATCTATGATTATTTTTATTATTTCGCTTTATATTTGGAGACATTTTTTTCACAATAAAAATCACAAATAATATTTTAAAATATAAATAATATGTGAACACAAGTTTTGAAAATGATGTAGCAGGCGCACAATCCGGGACTTCTCGCTCGTTAAGCGAATCATTTCTACAATATATTTTGCTCGTTAAAATGCTCGTATAGCGAGGTTCCACTGTATAGTCATTTTAATAGCAAATAAATCTGTGATGAGATAATTGTCGAATTCTCCTAAAAATTCAACAAATCTTTAGATAATGATAACGATAAATGAGAATGCAATTCTAGAATACTTCTAAAATCATTTTACTACATTAATATGTGGTAATAACTATTATTACGTGATCTTTAGGTTAAGAAACGCTGCTACAAATAATAATAATACTCTAATGTTATATCACTGTGCGAAGAAACACGAATCGAATGAAACGGAACGGAAAGAGAGGCGAACAACTATTTATTTCCCCATCAATCATTAACAACTAAAATTGTATGATACTAATAGCATCCAAGGTTGACGCATCGCGTAATTACCGCGACCGACCTTGTCATAGGTGGCCAAAGACACTTATCGCTATTGCCATTTCCATCGCAAATATATTCCCTCCTCCTCTTCAACCTCAACCTCTTCTTCTTCTTATTCTTCCTTCGTACTCGTCGATCTCCGCCAACTTAATATTCTCTTTGGGCCCACGGTCCGATGCCCAAATACACCCATAGCGGCCGTAATAAAATGCGCCAAAAATAACGCGCCGGATTTATAATGTATCGGCGTGGGCCATCCTTTCGCTTTCGCCTCTTGCCGCTCGCGTGGGTTTTTCTATTTCTGCAACGAACGACGACGACAAAGATGACGATTATTACGAAAAGAAGACCACGAGAGATGTTGTGAAGAAGTCAAACTGGAATGATACCATTCCCGTGTGTTTCTGTGCGCGCATCCATCTCGAACGAAAGAAATATGAAGAAAGAAAGAATCAAAGAAAGATTTCAGAGGAAGAACGAATACAGCAACAACAACAAAAAAGCAGAGGGGGGCGCACGACACGCTAATAATATAATTGGAAGACTCGGATAATTGCCGTTTAATAATTCAATTCGCAATTACTCAACGGCTTCAACCTCTCTTCTCGCGCAAAACGTATTCACTTCGTTCGCTTCCTCTGCCTCTATCCTACGCGCATTTCCATCATTCTTCTTCTCCGCGGAAAGCGAAGAACAAACATACACGAGGGACGGAGCGAGGAAGAGATAGATGTGAAGAGATACCGGGGAGAACGACTTGTGCAATCCCACACACGCAAGAAGAAGGCAAAAGCCCGACGAACCAAACAAGCACACACACACACACAAACAGAGATAATCCGAATGGGGAAGAAGAGGAGGAATCATCGAAACGGAATCTAATTGCACTGCCATTACACAATTGCACGGCGGATTTTGCTCGGTAATTCTAGTAATCTTTAAAAATAGTTACAGAATCGCGACCTTGGTCGACTCCACTCTTTTTGCTACATCTCTTTCTATTCCATAACATTTCGTCTGCGAAACTTCTTCTTCTTTTTTTTTAAACCACCACGAACGAACAAACAAACATAGGAAAAAGAATACAAAAAAGCGCTCTTCATTAAAAGTTGATGTCAATTAGAAGACACAATGGCGTTCGCTAACATCGAAACCAATTAGGGAAATGCCTTAAGTGCTTAATTGCGCTTAAGTCTGAAAAAATAGTAGCGGTGTTAATGATTGATATATATATATATGCAAACAAAAAATATATAGTTAATTTCGATGATTCTATGCGCGTACAATATGAATGGATTGAGGTATTATTATGTAACACGATGTAAAAAAAATATGTATGGAATTTAATTGATTCGCACGGATAAGTGTTTAATTGCAACGGAGGCCTTCAAAGTGATTTATATATTTAATTCGATGTACATGCGATTATACGTATACATTACGCGAGACGTTCATGTATTTCATAATTTGCGCAATTAGTTTTACCAGGTGTACCAACTGATATTCATAAATCTAATTTTGTAGTGGATATTTTTATAATAAAAAAATAAATATTAAAATCAAATATATTATATTATTAGTAATTAGTAATTGAAAATAATTTTAATTTATTATTATTTTATTTCATCATAATTAACATAAAATGACTTAATTTAGGACTTAAGTTAATGTTCGATGAAATATATCTAGTTCTTGTGTCGTGTCCCAAGGATGGAATTCTGAACACAGTGTAGGAATTAAATAATTCAATTGATTTAAAACAAGTTTATTATAATAATTGGTACTCTTGGGGTTCTTTCCAAGACAATGTAGATACTTTTAGGGATTGTCTAAGACTAATTACAAATATTTATTGAACTAACAAAGTTAATTCGTATTAATACGCGGTGGGAGTTGTGATCGGGAGTAGGGTTTGATTATATTGATGACTAAGCGTTCCCACGGGTTACTGTGGGATCTGTCTATTCTGCATTTTGGTCTTATCAGTTGAAAATAGGAAGGAATGTTACAATCGGTCTCACTGTACTAACAATAATAATTGTAATAATAACGGTTGGACACAATACCTGTAAAATTGCAAATTGCGTACAGTATGTAACACCTCACTCAATAAGTTCGTAGTATGATATATAGTTGGCGCCTCTATAGACAAATCCATATGATTTTTAGGAAGTACGAACCTTCAGATGACTCCTGTCAAAATTTCATGGCAATCTGACTTTCAGTTCACAAGTTACAGTGATTTTAATGACGCAACTTTTGTTATTTTCAAATGTCAATGCTTCCCCATCCACCGTATTCTCCAGATCTGGCTACGTTCTACAAGAATGGTATGTAAAATGTCTTTATTTTTGAGTATAAATTCAGTTCCCAAACAGAATTTTGGTTAAGTATTTACGAACTAATTATGTTCGAAAACTAAGATATTATATAAACAAAAGTATAAAGTAAATTAGTTATTATATTTATTAATATGCAAAAATTATACCATAATAAATTACAAACATAAATCAGTCTTAAATATATATCATATTTACTTATCCTAATTTTAATGAAAATCAATCATTTTCTTGATTGATTCAAATATATCTTTTGATAATTTGTATTTGATACTCTTATCCGTTTGGAATAACATCCTGTGTCCCCATTCTTGAAAATTGGTACCCTGAACTACATTCGTGAACTTATCCTTGTATATCCAAGAGTCTTGATAAAATATTTGTTTGGTAAATTTGGGACAAGAACATGGAACTTTGGTGCTTATAGGATACCTACAAAAAATAAGATTAACGATAAGAATTAAGATATTTTTCGATTATTTACTGGTAGAGTGGCATAGGGACAAACTGTTGGAAAGATCTGATGGAATTTGTCGTACTCTGAGAGGTTGTCATTAACATAACAACATCGATTAGTTTTTATTCATCCATGTTTTGAAGCGCACCAAATAATTGGTTATTGTACTCTTCTAAATCAGTTCCCACAGATATGATATTCCAAATATATGAAGCCAAAGCAATTGGTGAACTCGACAATGTAATACCTGCAAATTCATATATTTTATTATAATTTACTTATTAACTTATGAATTATTTACTTAAAGAGTCCAGACTAATAAAATTTCCTTGCATGTAGTTTAAGAAATAAACCATTTTGTTGAAAGATTTCCACATATCGTATTTCGATTTATCCGCGTTGATTACTTTATTAACAATTGTTTCAGAAGCATATTTCACTAAGCTTATCTTCCTGAGAGATAAACACATGGTGTTATACAATCCCATAACTTTATCCGGATATAAAATTGCCATATCCGTGCCAATAAATGATCCAACCCCTTGCCCAAATACATAAAACCTATCGATGTTCAAGCGCTTCATCAAATTCTTGAAAAGCGTTGCCACATGAACCGTTGTCCTATCCTTCATTGGATCCGACATGAAATGTCCGGGCAAAGAAGGTATTATCAATTCGAACGATACGTCGCCGTTTCCGCTCGTCAGCTGCGGTACAATGTCGTAGAAGTATGCAAAACTTTCGGGCCAACCGTGCAACATCAAAAGAGGCACTGTTTTATTGCTCGTCTCTGGTTTTACGTGGACGAAATGAATCTGAAGCCCTTGGACGATTGTAGTGTATTGTGGATATTGATTGAAGTACACTTCGCGTGTTCTCCAGTCGTATTTTTCTCTCCAATATTTAATAACATCCTTGTATGTTATATCCAGAGGCTGCGAAAGTATCGCCGAATGTTTAACTTGCGAGAAAACTGTGTTCACAATCTGAAAACATAAATATTTTTCATTTTAACTTAATGCTGCAATATTTTATACTATCGTTTATACCCAACTGAATTATGTATGTCTAAATAATAAAAATATACAAAAAATATCAGATGTAGAAATAGTTTAATTGAGAATTCATAATAATATGAATAGAATACTTTTATTAACTCTGAACAAATAACAAGACGAACTAAAATAAGATTTGCTATAAAAATAAGTCTTAACATTATATCAATTTACACACATTTTTTGTTTAAAACTTATCTTATAAGTAAACATTCTAAATACATGTTAAATTACCATACTAATGATAGTAGATATACTATATGAGTTCTTGTTTTTCTTTCCGATTGGTCAGAGTTTATTCAGTTTGTTTTTATATTGAGTAAATATTTTTTAATGTAAAAATCAAGAGAGTTTCAAATTAACTAAATATTATTTTAATTTAATTTTATAATAATTTATGTAATTTTATAGTTATTTCAATAAAAACAAATATATGAATGAACTTACATGATCAGAAATATTAATATTGTATTCACGGATGGAACGATCAGCACTTCTAAATCCCAAAATCTCACTCTGGTTAACATTTGGTAAAAGAGGTTCCTCCAAGAGGTAATCAATGAAAAGGCCCAAAGATGTTATAGATGCAAGCAATACTAATGCCTTCAGTCTGTGCGTCTTCTTGTGCGAACTATCGTACATAGTCATCTTAATGATCACGTTACAATTCCAATCGCTACTGCGACTAGCACTAACCGTTGTCAATTTATATATTGTTATACTCTATTGTATATTGGTCCAAGTTGAAGAAAAACCTGTTTCTCTAATACGTAAACAGTTTTAGTGACGTTCAAGAAACCAATTGGAGAGATTTAGAGTACAAAGTTGGTACTTAAATAAACGGACATTTCCCACTTAATGAGCTAAAATAATAAGAAATTAAATCTTCTAATCATTGAACTATGTAGTATCAATCATTTTTTAAATGTTGTATAATTTTTTATGTCATAAATTTATCAGAATCTGTTCATCAATGAGAACATTGAGTAAATTTAAGATCGCGGTTGACATTAAATGGATAATCTCCCGATAATATCCCGATATTTACCATTTGATTTTTTAATTTGTTGGTTGGCAGTAGAATATTGATGCTCTGCGATTCCTCTATTTCCTTTGACTGTGAATTTGCTGCTATCCTTAAATTGCTTTGTCATCATGATGCTCTGCGATTCCACTAATTCCTTAACTCTGCTGTTTATCTGTCATTGTCCATCGACTTGGCTGAAGGTCCATATGCTGAACCTCATGTATTTGACTGTCTATCTGTAATGAACGATGGCCCTATTACTGCAAGCACCGAGAGGGCTCACAAAGGGCCTGGCTTGACCAGGATTCGAACCGGCGCCCACGAATTCGTGGGTAGGGCACTTAACCATTCGGCTATTAGTCAACCTAACTCAATTAAATGAAATACCGGCGTCCACGAATTCGTGGGTAGGGCCACTTAACCATTCGGCTATTAGTCAACCTAACTCAATTAAATGAACATACAGTTATTTCGAAATTGGTACAAGACTTAATCTGTACGGAGGAAAGTTGATGTACGTGCAATATCCACTGAAATGTTTCTGTTCGGGAACCGAATTGTTAGAACAAAAGAATGGATTTATTGCATTTAAAAATCCAAATAACTATTAACCAACTTAACTGAATTAAGTGACTATATTTAAATCCAGATGCATTGGAGAAAGTAAAGATACAATTTTATAAGTTTAATATGAATTTGGTACAAACCGTTTTTGAAGATGTTACGAAAATTCCAAACATGCACATAATGAGTACACACACATTATGTGTATATAAAAACGTAGATTAGATTAATAGAAGGCTATGAATACTAAAACAAAAGATTCATTAAGAATGTGACAAACAAAACAACAAATAATTTTGTTTATGTTGGAAAAATATTAACAAATGTA